TCTGAAGATTTTCCATACCTTTTACTCATTCATACATGCACTTTTTGTCCAAGTCATACATTATTCCACACCTTTCATTTTTGCATTTGACAATGTTTTCTAATTTCAACAAGTATTTCGATAGCCCATGCTATCAGGCATTGGTCTAGAGATAACTGTTCACTGTTTAGCTCTCAGTCTTATGTACTAGCTTCTTTATCTGTAACATGAGGTTGTCCAGAGCCACATACAGTTAAGAACTTGTCCAAGTTCACAGTCACCGAGTAGCAGAGCTGAGATCTGAACACAGTTAGCTTGACCACAGCTTCTCCACCCTTAACCACCAGGCTCTCCCATCTTCCCATGGGCCTGGCGATTCTCTGCACGCCTTTAATGGAGCCCTATCACCGGACTTCTAATAGCTACATCGTGTCCTATAATAAGATAATGAACATTTATTTAACTCGACCTTCCTCATTTTCGATAGGTTTTTCCACAAATATAAATGACCCTATATTACACATCCCGTTGTAGGCACTTATGGGCCGGGCTCCACAGGCTGCATCCCTAATAAAATTGCAAGGTTAAAGGGATGAATTTTTGCATTTGAAGTACTGCCAAGCTGCCCTTCAAAGAGGCTGCCAAATTACACCAGCACCAACAGCGATGTGCATTAATGTCCCAAGATGTCCTGCGAACAAGCTCATTACTCTCACAGGCATAGACGAAACTGCTTCTCTGTTGACCTGCACAACCCCACTCGGGCACTGACTGGGTGTGGGAAAGTGCTGGAACAGCGCTTGGAAGACTTTAGTTGCATCTGAACCTCCACCTGGAGGTTTTCTCAAAACGCAGATGTCTGAGTCTTACCCCCAGAGTTTTTAAGTCCGGAGATCCTGGAGGGTCTGAGAATTTGCATTTCTAATAAGTCTTGCAGTGATATGGTTCCTGCTGGAACCTCGCCTGCTCCCAGATGGGACTTGGGCAGATATCTTTTAAAAACCCCTCCCAGTGCTTCTAACATATGGGTGGGGCCGTTTTCTCTTGGGAACGCCTTTTCAGGAGAGTGCTTCTCACAGATAGACTTATTACTCACAAGAATCGCTATCTAATGGTTTTGTTGTTATGAATTTAAAAATCCTTGTCATGTCACTTCAAAGCCAGGGATCTCTGAGCCAGAGGCACAGGCAAGCCCTTGAACTCTTCCTACAGCCCTGGACTCTGGGAAAATCCCTGAGTTGCTCTCACTGCTGCTCCTGGGTATCAAGAGTAGAGGCAGACCTGACAGTACCAGCATCAGACGGTGGAAGCGTTCTCACTTCTCAATGCCTTATTCTGTCCAAGGCGTGGGGTTCCTGAGAGGTGAAGCCACATGCCCGCAAGGGCTGGAGCTGGAGCCACCCTGTCCTCAGAGCGACTTGTGATTCTTGCGTCTTTCTGGGCTCATGTATTAGCTTCTTGGCAGCTTCTGCTTTAGGTTCCCAGCCGGGCATTAGCAGCAGCAGACACAAACAGCAGCCGCTGGTGTTGCTGCTAAGCACTTGCTCTGGCAGTGTAGGCTTCCCAGGTCTGTGCCTTAGAGCCCTGCCAGGCAGAATCTGGCCCCAACAAGCAGGCCCCCTATGAAACTTGTACAGGTTGTTGGATGCACAGTGTTCTGGAGGCATCCTCCTCACCAGTTGTTGTAGGCAATTTGCTGGCAAATGGCAAAACAGTATATAGAAGAATAAATGCCTTTTCCAGTTCAACAAAGGTCCCATCTGAGCCAGCTGGACTTGCTGCCTAGTTCTCAGGGACTGCCAGGTCCTCGTGGCCTCAGAGAACAGCCTTCCATGCCTGACTGCATGGGTCTGAGGCTGGTTCCTCTCATTTACTTTATTTTTTTCTTCCGTTTCAGAAGAGATTTCTGATCTGAAAAACCAGGTGAAAGAAGGAAACAAGAACTTGAAGTGAGATGGAGAATGTCAAGAGAGATGGAGCCAAAGAAGACTGAAGGCCAGGGGCCCGGAAGAAGCAGAGGTATTACCGCCAGGGAGCAAAAACATTCTCACCTTTAGCAAAAGCAGATCTCAGCCAAGTAATAGCAGCAACAACCCAGTGATTTGTGTGCCGGCCCCATGCCAGGCACTGTACCCACATTGGCTGCACGGTGTTGTCTGGAATCACCCTAACAAGTTCTTATCCACGGGGTTCAGGCGAGGAACTCGAGACTCCGAGAGCAGGAAAAGCAGCAGTGGATGCAAGTCTGCAAATTGTAGTGAAAACAGGACTGGATCTGTCTTACCCCCCAGTACCTGGGCCCACACACCTCAAACTATAGCTCATCATCCAGTTGTGTGGCAGCACTCCAAGGCTTGTTAGAAAGTCAGGCTTTCGGCCCTCTCCCCGAGTCAGCTGAATCAGAGATTGCATTTGATCTTTTAGTGGTTTAGCTTCACATTAGCATTTGAGAAGCTCTGGCCCAGCACATGGCCAGGCAGTTAGTAGAGTTTCAGTAAATGTTTACGGAGAGATCTGCGGCACCATGTGGGTCACCTCCCAGGCCAGGGACCCACCTCATGCTGCAGTGGCTTTGGATTGCTTCATAGCGCTGTGATTTAGCCCCTTGTGCCACCAGGGAGGCCCATCTTGTCCCTTTTTTTAAAAACAGGGTCAAACACACACACACACACACACACACACCCCTTTTTTGGGGAGTCTGAAAATTGGAGTTCAAAGTGATGGCCTCAAAATTGAAAGCTCATCTCTGGAAGGGCGGTTTGACAGTAGTGTTTTTAGTGCTATGGATAAAAAGTTCAGGAAAAGTCTCTGACTTTATCCCTGGGTGTGTGCTAGTGATTTAATGGGCCACTGAAAAGATCTTCTGCTCAGAGGGTGAGCTAGAAAGTCACCCTGTGATGTCACTAAGGAGTTAACAACTCTCCATAACCTCTTTTCTGGCAGCTAAATTTTATCTCCTTTGCCCACCCTTAATAACCAGTCAGTACTTTAATTATCAGCACTCACCCTCCAGTAGAGAAATTGTTTTTAAAGCAGCACCGCAATCACTTTTAGGCCAGGGATTATTGGAAAGATTGATAATGGAAATCAGGCCCCAAAGGACACTGTGTTGCCATGCAATGTCGGTAAAATTTGCCTCATCACTTAATTTTTGTGAAACTGCCAGACAGAAAACATGTCCCTATAAACCTTACAGAGAGCAGTCAGTGTGGCATCTCCTGTGTTTTTATGTGTAATTGTTTTCTGAGGTCTTGGACTTTTTATGTAGAATCCTTTCTGTCAGCAGTGCGGTGACCCCCAGAAAGGCCAGTCCTTCTGAATCTTGTGGTTTTGTTTCATTTTCCTTTTCCCTTTGGTCCTCTGGCCATCTGGGAGATAGAGACTTTCTGAAGCCACCACCTTAACAGGAAGTATTAACTTTATGGTAGAATTGAGTGATAGGATCTGGCAGGGCCAATTTTAGTCCCGTATAACACCCAGAAATTGACCTGCTCTCACATCAAAGGTGAGAATATTAAAGGCATAATGCTCAAACCATTTGGTGCCACTAGGTGGCATTATATTCCATCCACATTTTCTCAAGATTTGTTGCCAGCCATGTCCATAAATACTTCATCAACTTGGACATGTATTTGTAAAATTGGGTTTTTTATTTTCCTGGATGAATCTTTATGAGAAACTTTATCAGGTTATTGTTGAAGTAACAAAACTCAAATTATCCCAGGTCTCCTGCTGCTAAAATTCACTTTCTCAGTGCTTTCTAGAGGGCCAGAGGTGACTGTTTCTCCCTGAGGGAAGTGTACCATTCCCTGGAAGGATATTGCCATTTAGCATTTAATTTTGGTTTATTTCTTTGATATTGAAGGTAGTTTTGAGAACATCAGGGAGGCCTTAACCCATATTAAAATTTCTAGCACCTTTCTTATTTTTACTTAGAAATTGCTATTGAGTTTTACATTTTTCTGTTAGTGATATGTGCTCAGCACTCCTCAGAAGAAGCTATAAAAATTACTCCTGCTCCAGAACCACCTGCCAGTTGTTAATTCACCAATATATTGTCATCACCTCTTGTGCCCTTTATAAACACCCTCCTCAGTCTCCTGTGAATGTTGTGTTTGTTGTTTCTTCTAAATAAACTTTATCTTTTGAACAGCCTTTAATGCTTTATTCAAACTTGCACTTTTAAAACTGAGTTACCTTTATAACATCTGTGGCAGTAATTGCTTTGCCTCTGTTTAAATACTCAAAGGGGCAGGAGCTCTTGTTACCTGTCAAAGCAATCCTTTGAAGCAGTAGTAATAATTATGGTGATAATTGCTCACACTGAGTTTTATGAGTCAAGTACAACCTAAAAACCTTTATTTGCTCTTCATATGACAATATTTAGGTATTATCTTTTTTTCTTGCTCTTTGATGCTCTACTCCCCCCCCCGCCCCCACCATTCTTCTATGATGTCCAGGATGAAATGAAAGATTCCAAGTAGGAGTTATCACCTTCCTTGTTTCAGTTTTGATACATTTTTTGATTCATCTCAAAGATGGAATACATTAGTCAAAAGTAACAAAGAGTTTAAATATAGTCACAGACAAAATTAAAGTCTTCTATTTTTAAAAATGTTTTAGAATTCTAATTATTGAACTATAGTTGAAAGCTCTAAGAATGTCAAAGCTATTAAGTGACGTGACAAAAGTCATCACTTGTCTCTCATTCTGTTCCATTCTGTAGGAACCTGATTTGAACTCATCTCCCAGCAACTTTGAAGAGAGCTATATTAGTGACATATGCTTTAAGGAAAAAACAAAAAACAAAAAACCAAAAAAAAAAAAAAACTCCTTTTTGTTCAAAAGTGAACTTAATCTGGGGCTTTCTATTTCTTTATTTCAGGGAGCACTGGAACTTAATGAGAGCAAGATTCATTTCCTCATTGAACTTTTGGAAGTTAGAGAGAAACGCGAAACAAAGAAATAGAAAATTGTAGGTATTTAAGATTACTTGGGTGACCAACGGTTGCATATTTCAGACCCTTGAAGGAACAGAACTTGCTGTGTTTGACTGCTCTTGTGACTCCTACTGGGACGTTTTACCAACGACACTTTCCCAGTCTTGCTGTAGACCAGCACGCCGACACCACCCTTTCCGGTAAGCTTACCACTACTCATATAAAAAATACCTCTACACAATTGCTATCAGTTTTTATGACTTTCTTATATTCAAGCAGCTTTTATGGTCATAAAAAAACTCAAAACTCCAAAATATTTTTACATACATAGACAATGACTGTGCATATGTATCGGGATCTCCGTGTGACAAGTCTTTCTTATACATTCAAGAAACTGACTGATAGTGTTGAGGAGTAGAGGAAAGAAACTAAAAAAATGGATGCTTATATTAAAATTTATGTCAGATCAGAGTGAAATTTTCACATACCCCCTGCTCAGCAGCCCTTTGTTTGGAGAGGGGCAGAAGCCAGGCGCTAAGCTGCTTATTTGAAACCCTATTGAAGCAGCTGAGTCTTAATAGTCAGGAAACTGAATTAGACAGGACTCATGGGTTGCAGGATCTTTTCTTAGCTTCATAACAAGCTGATGACTTTAGACATCCCACTTCTTAGCTCCTCAGTGAAGTGAGGGATGAAAGCAGCCCCATCCATGTCACAGAAGGTGGTGAGGAAGATCAGTAAGCTGATGTTGGCAAAGCACTTCACACTCTGTGGATCAAAGGCACAATTATAAACACGCAGAATTAACTATGATTATATTATCTATCTGATCTGTTCCCTGAAGTCAGTGCCATATGTCAACAAGGAAAATTATTTGAGCCTGAGGTTTCAATTGATATGTATTCACATGTTTATTAAAGAATTTAAAAAATCCTGCTCACGTGTTCAGTTGAACTGGCCTCTCTCCCATAGCCCATTTTCAGACAAGCCTCCCATGGGGGCCATTTTTTTTAATGAGATGTCAGGCCAAATTTGGCCCTCTGTGTGCTTTGAGTTCTCTTTACTCTCACTACCCAGCACTTCCTCTGTAGACCTGACTATGGTGATTAATTGTGGTCTACTTAAGAGGCTCTGAGTGAGTGTCTAAAAGAATTTCTTTTGATGAAGGGCAAAAACATTGGGCCTTGATATTTGCCCTACTTCCTTCCACAAGGAACAAAAATGAACGTCTTTTCATGCAGTTAAAAAAATCTCATTCCAGGTAACGTCAAACCTGTGCCTATTAATAAACCTAGCCAAGGAAAAATGAATCCTCAGAGAGTCTGCTTGTCATCAGGTACATCTGAATGTCGTGGAGCAGTTCACCAATTATAATAATCTTGGCGGAGAGGAAGCGGAGATCCAAACAGCTAGGGCAGGGAGAAGAAAGAACACGACTAGGCATGAGCTGTGAAGGGGCTGAAAAAGGAAGGGGTGGCTGGAGGGAGGGAGGGAGCTATTCATGAGTTTTAGTTAATGATTCATAATAGCTATAACAGGTACAGCCACAGAGGAAAGACGAGCAGATCTTAGAAAATCTCACACACACCACCCCAGGCCCTTTCCTGTGAATACTTGGGACAAGGGCAGAGGGTTCTGGATGCCTTGGTTTAGTCTTATGATTCAATCTGGGCTGAAGGTTGGGAGAGCAAGGGGTTTTAAAGAGACAGGAGAGTGCTGGGGGAAGTGCACCAACCAGAAGATTCCCAGCAATGAAGGCTAAGAGTGTGCATTATAGAATTGAAGGAGAATATTATGCAGGGCCAGATGAGATTCAAGGTCCTTGTCCACATAGCCTTGGGAAGCCCCGCAGAGCCTGAAGGAACACAGGACGCAAGAAGTTGAAGGAGCCATGGGTACAGAAGGGGTCTCAGGGGCAAAAACCACCACAGTGCCACAGGCTGCTTCAGTTCATTCAGCTTCGCTGCTCCTGTGCTTGCTCCTCCATTGATGCACTCGGGAGTGATCCCCAGAGAACCGAGGGAGCTGGGCCTGCAAAGTTGGTGGTGAACATATGGGGGGCTGGTGTGTGGCATGTTTCCTTTGCTCAATAGATATTTGAATACTTCTTGTCTTGCCAACATGCCTTTGGGTTCTAGTCCAGGGTCCTAGCTTTTATGGATGACAGGGCTAGTTCTAAAAACGTTCTACAGATGTTATAATTAGCGCCCTTAGTGGTAGGGAGGTGACAGTGCAGTTGCTGGTGGAGGAGGGGAGAGCTTTAGTGGCTGGCGTGGACCCACTGCCACTGGACACCTGGAGGGAGGCCATCAGCAGTCAGCTTATGTCCCACTGGTGGTTATAGTTGTTCTTAAGCCAAATCCTATTTCAAGGCCCAAACCTGGGTTGAAATAATTGGTGGGGTACATCCTGAATCTTTGGGGGACCACTGACTATATCTCCAGTTAGGGTGTTCTCAGAGCTTCAAGCCAGGGTGTACCCAGCTTGCATTTTGCTCTTTAGAGGCATGCCCAGAGGGGTGCTGGGGAAGGAGCTTAAACCTCTTGACTGTTAAAATGCATTTGTTTGTATTGATTTGATGACCTATAGAAGGACGAGGCAAACTTTCTGTTCAGGGCCAGGTAGTATACAGAAGGAAAAATTTTCCTCTGCTCTCTTTGGTGGCCTGGCCATATCTAAGAATAAAAAATGACATAAGAAATTAATAGGAAAAGCATACACATTCCGTTGTATGTCATTTTTGCATGTACATGGGAGCTTCCCAAAGACTGAAGAGCCAAACAACTGACGAGAACAGGGAGCTTTTATGCCTTTGGATGAGAAGCAATAAATTTGTAAAAAAAAATTGTCAAGTTTCGACTAGCAGTAGTAAATGGGGAAGAATTGACAGGGTCCGTTTATTCAGCCTTTACGACTCTCAATTCCCCTCTCCGGCGATGTGGATGTATTCCTTCCATGTGGTGCTATGAGGAGGGTACGTTCCCCATGGGAGACTTATCCCTCGCTTCCAGGGAAGGAGAGTGAGGGCTAAGGGTGCAGGATAGAGCAGCCTCCCTGCCTCTGCTGGCTTTCTCACTGCTTGAGCTGAAGAGATTTCATGTGTTAAGGTTCCATATTTGGGGGCTCTGTACCCTGAACCTCATCAATAGTAAATATTTTTGACTTTATGCGTATAGGATCTCCTACCTCTGTTGAGCTATATAGTTGTAGCTTGAAAGCAGCCTGAACAATAGGCAATCAGCTGGGTGTGGCCAGAATTGACCCCCGGCCTGGGTCCTGTAGCCTCAGGTTTGTGGTAACATTCTCTCACTGCCTACCATCTGGGCTGTGTCTCTGATCTCAGTGATGTCAAACTTCACATGTGGTATCAATTTATAAACATCACCCAGATTTTTATTGTCTGAGTCTCTGCCAGAAGAATGTTTAAATCTCTTCTCATTTCTAAGTAAAATATTTTAGCAGGTCTTTAAGAAATGGGATCTCAAACTCAGAGTGTTTATTTAGAAACAGGCTTTGTGATTTTAAGTTGAATCATATATTTGAATTAAGAAAATTTGACATTTCTACTATATATAGGAGCAATAGTGCAAGGAAAAAAACCTGTCAAGTTGTCCATTTAACACTATTGGCTTTTTAAAACTTATGTTTTTATTCATACTTAATTTTGCATTTGTTCTCTTAAAATACATTTCATATTTTGGGGGGAAAGAGGGAAAGGAAACTCTTACTGTATTGCTCTGGTCCTGAGAGCTTTATTTATTTTGAAAAAATGTACTTGGGGAGTTTTCACATTAAAGATTGCTTGACTCTGCCAGAAATGTGTTGATGATATAGCAGCCCTTCTTTAGACCTGCATCAGATCCAAACCTCTTAAGCCATAGCTCCTTCTACCTGTCTGCAGGCGCTTGGGAACTTTCATAAACAACTGCAAAAAAAAGTGGCTTGCAATGTTCGGTTTATCTGCTTAAGTAGAATGTATCTTCCAGCAGAGGATTTTGACAGCAGGCTGGGGATGCTGTAGCGTGTCTGTGAGGAGTCAGTTGTGGAGAAAATGAGTTTCCCAGTGTAAGACAGGGGAGTGCCTCAAAACTTTTAGTGATGTTGTGTGACCCTGTAGTAGTTTATGGGCTGCCTGGACAAAATAAATAGATTGGGTGGTTTAAATGACACCCAAATTAATTTTCTCACTGTTCTGAAGGTCAGAAGTCTAAGACCAGAGGGTCAGCAGTTTGGCTACTGCTGAGGCCTCACTCTGGGCTTGCTGATATTCCTGCCTGCCTCATCCTCACACTGCCTTCCTTTGTTTGCACAGAACAGCCCTTGTGTTTCTTTGCCCAGCTTCCCTCTCTTCATCAGGCCACCTGTCAGGTGGATTAAGATCCATCTTCCCAGTCTCATTTCACCCAATGACCTCTTTTTTTTTTTTTTTAAGATTTATTTATTTGTGCATACAGAACTGGGGTACAGGCCAGACACTCAGGGACGGTGAGAGGCTTCACCAGAGATAGAGTGGGGAACAGAACAGGCAGATCGACGAAGTACACTGCTGAGGGGAGCAGCGGGCGGGTCAGGAGAGGCAGGAGAGGTCTGCCACGCCACGTGGTCACCTCCGGGGCAGGCGGGGATCGAACTCATGCGGAAGCGGCTTTAGATTCTCAGTGCAGTGCTTTAACCTGCTGCGCCACCAGGGAGGGGCCTCACCCAATGACCTCTTTAATGGTCAAGTCTCCAATTATGGCCATGTTTCGAAGGTGCTGGGTTTAGGGATTCAATGTACCGATTTGTTGAGGGGCGGGGGGTGTGTACTGAGACTGTGCTGGGTCCCAGAAGCTAAAAGTTGTGTGGGTGAGGCTTGGCAGTAGTTCTGCCCATGGGCAGTCAAGTGCTCCCAAGCTGACTGTGATCACCCTGCACTGTGAGGCGACCATATACTAGGCTAAGGCTGCCTCACAGGAGACTTTAAGATTCCTAAGTCTTTCCTTGACTTGGGAGCCCTACTTTGTTGTGATGGGCCTTTGCTGACTATCTTGGTCCTTCAGATGATGGTTTTAAAGTAAAGGACCTTTAAATTCACTTTGTTAGTTACCCAGCATTTTTCTTGAAGTTTTTTTTTCCTTCTTCTGCTTCCTATCTATTGTGTACACAGCAGGTAACCTTTCTTAATTTGGGTGCATAACTTCCTTACCTAAATGTTTTTCTACACTTAGGAGAAACCAGCACTGTGCTACTGACTCCCTGCAGTCAGAAGGTGGGAGCAGAATCTAGCCACTGGCTGAAGACGACCATGCAAGGAAACCTCAGTGACAGACACCAGCAGGTGTCAGTGCCAAGCGTCCCCAGGCCAGCATCCTGTTCAAATCAAGGTATTTTTAAATTGTAATATGGCCTTAGGGAGGGATGTCTTTGCTAATAGAAGCAAACTATTCACCAATTTCTTTGAACAATAGCAGTGAAGATTAACTGCAGCTAATCTTTCAAGAAAATGGGAACATGTTTAAATTGAAGTGAGTGGAGACTTGAGGACCATAAACCTCTAGTTTTCCAGGACACACCCCCACCCCCCAATTCAAACTATTTCTTATGTCCTGCACGGAGAAAGCACAGAAATTGAAATCTTTATGAAAATGTATAACTAGTTAACAGAACCTTTTTATGACTGTCAAATCTATTGTTAATATATTTGCGCTCAAATGTTGAGCTTTTAAAAAATTTATTTTGTAATTAATTTCTGTAACATTTTACAAAAATATTGATCTATAGGGGCTGGAAATTTAAAACACATTGCTGTGGGGAAAGATGGCCCTTGTGACGCGCAGGCGTGCAGAGGTGTGCCCCACTGATCCCAGAGAGGCTGTGCTCCAGCCGAGTTTCTCCGGCAGGCCCTCTGGGGACAGCTGGATGACAGTGTGCAGCTGAACAGGGGGCTGGAGTAGCGGGTGGCTCTCCTGAGCAGTGCAACCCTCTGTTCCATTCTGCACTGGAGGAAATAAGTTCCTCCAGTGCAAGGCCATAGGCCAGCGGGCTCTCTTAGAAGCTGCAGAAAGAGTGGACATTTCCCATACCCAGTTGGGGTCCCACAACACCCCATAGCTTGTTAGCTGACTGAAGGCAGAGGTCCCCAGAGCATACACTTGTCATGTTAGGCCTTGGGGTGGCATGTGAAGCCTGGGGAGAGCCTTTGGTCCAGAGTGGTGGGTGGCCACTCTCATCAGCCATCCCTGCGTGTGTTAGAGTTAGCCCCCGAAGGCTGCTGTGACAGAGTATCACAAATGGGGGTGGGGGGGTGAAAACAACAGATTTATTCTTTGGGTGCTAGAAAAGCTAGCTGTCTGAAATGGGGGCTGAGGGTCATGCTCCCCTCTGAAGCTTGTAGGGAAATCTTTGCCTTTTCCTAGCTTCTGATGGCAGTTGGTAGTCCTTGCTGTTCTCTAGCTTATACATGCATCACTCCAGTCCTCCGCCTTTCTCCCTAATTGTGTCAACATCATCTTTCTTCCCTGCAAGTATCTGTCTCTGTCCAGATTTCTGTGTTATGGGGACCTCAGTTCTTTTGAAGTAGGGTTCACCTTAATGAACTAATTTTAACTGATTACCTCTCTGGAAAGGCTCTATTTCCAAATCAGGTCATAGTCTGAGGTATTATTAGGAGCTAAGACTCCAACATATTAGGGGGAAGAATATGACTTAGACTGTAACATTAAGTTTACTACTGGAAAAAAAGAATTGGGTGTCCACAGCCAGGAAAATGGGGAGAGAGAACATCATTCCCTAGTGTTCCAAAACCACTTGCCTGCTTCTACTGTTCTCTATGGCCACGTGCTCCCTGAGCACACAGGAGCCAAAAAATAAAAAAGTACTTCTGCTTCAGAGCCAAGAAATGCCCAGCAATTCTGAGTGGCTGCTGACAGATAGGATGAACTGTCAAACTTCCAGTTTCTCATAGAAGGTTATGTAAGTGACTTGAAGCAAGAATTGTTAGAGCCTTTGCCATTCACTAAGAACCATGAGAAACCAGTGAGTAGGTCATACAACAAATATTTATAGGGGGCTACCCTAACCTGGATGGGTCTACATGGTCTAGGTTCAAAGAGTTCCCATTATCCTAAACCAGGGAAGCCCCAAGAGAACACCCTGCAGCACATTGCTATGAGGATGACGATAGGTCAAGTGTGCACGGCAGAAAGCCTTCTCCAGTGTCCTCCACTTAAGCAGATGCACCCTGGGCTCCACTGGAGTTCTGAGGGCACATAAGAAGTCAGCCAGGTGGAGAGAAAATTCAAGGACAGAGGCGTGGAGGAAGTAGGGGTTGGGATGTTAAGGGAAATTGATCCATTCAGTGATGCATAGGTAGCAGAAATGATGCCCAGGCAGGGAAAGCCAGGTCACCAGGGACTGAGTCTAAGGCTGCTGGTGTTTGAAATCTGTCTTACTGTTAAGGGGGGGTCCATTGACGAATTTGAAGTAACTCAGTGTGAAATTTCCATATTTGAATTTTAGGAAATTTTCTCTGGTGACCATCATGAAAGGGTGAGTGAAAACAATTAGGGGTGGAGCTCAGGTATGTATAGTGACATCGTGGATTCACTGTGATTGTTCTAGTGACCATCATTTAGTGGGTAAGCTCCAGAGACACTAATACTCCTATGAAGTGCAGTCTAATGCCACATCAGAAAGAATTGCCTCTCCCAGAATGCTAGCTGTGACCCCCCCACCCCCACTGAGGAATACTGAATAAAAAGAAAAAAGAAGTGTAAACTGGGAACTGCTCCAGTCAGAAGGCTGCACGATCTGTCCGGGCCTCGTCTGACTTCTGAGTGTGTGTGCGTGATGCAGTCTAGTGTGGGTGTAGCCCATGACATGGACCAAATGGACTGCAGGCCAGGGTACGATGCCCAGCGGGCTAATCACTGCAACCTTTCTTTCTCTCTCCAGAAAGCTTATCTTTTCGGATATTGAATGGGATTCCTATAAAGTAGAACTTTGAATAAGAAGTAAATCACCCACTATCTGTAGTACTTGGTAGCTACTGGTAACAATTCATTTGCCATGGTATTACAATGGGCCCTATCTGATGACAAGTCAGTAGCCTAGAGAGTGCTGGGACAATGCCACAGAGAAGGAGAGGTCGAGAGAGCTCACAGATAACTAGACAGCCGAGACCTGCTTTCTAGGACAGTTTCTGAAACTTTGGCTAATAAGCATCATTAATACAGAATCCAGATTCTCAGATCTCACCCTAGACCCATCAAATCAGAATCTCTGCAATGGGACCCAGGAACCAAACAGGGTCTCAGGTGATGCGCTGCAGGCACGGCCCTTGGTCAGCACATCCGGGGAACATGCTGTGGCTCACAGGCCTCTCCCCACATGAGCATGCAAGGCACCTGCAGTTGCTAGGATAGTTGCAATCTTTTGAACAATCACTGAGCCTATTACGGAAATTTCTTAGCTCCCCTTGTGTTCCCAGGCCTCTAGCCTAGAAAAAAGTGACACCAGACTTCTCCATGGCTGATGACTTGCATGTTCTTCAGACCTGAGCTGTGACCATCCAGATTGCCCTCTAGCACATTACCTGCTAACACCTTCCCCTCCCTACCCCCTCTCCCCACCACATGCAGAAAATGAGTAGAAGTCACTCTACTTGAAAAGGTTTCCATCCTTTTCTCCAGATTGTATAAATTGTCCTATGTATAAACACGTCAATAGTTGTGCCTGGACCTTTATTTTACAAAAATAAAAAAAGAAGTTTTAAAGAGCAGTAGGTAGTGACCATCCAAGAAATGCAGAGGCAGACACTTATCCATCCCACCTTCAAACCTGGGGGTGCAGAGGGCTCTTCATAAGGATGAGGCATGGCAGCCTTGATGAAAATGCTTCAAGGCCTCAAGGGTACACCTATGAGGCTGAGATGTCTCTCCATTTCCAGAGCTCAGTCATGGCTTAGGGGTAAAGGAAAATGAAAGGACAATGAAAAAAAAAAGAAATAATAGAAAGCCTTTTATATACCTTCTTTATGCTCAGGTTTCACATCCTCAGAAAAGCTGTTTCAAATAGGGACTACATAGCAGCCAAAGGAGCTTCAGCCTCTGGGGGCACTACCAGGGAAAAAGAATTAGCACAGCACCAGCCACATAACACAAAGTATCCTCTGGGGTACTGGGGTTCCTGAGGGCTGGGGCATGAGGCTCATGCCACTTCCTCACAGCAGTCAGAGAGGGAGGGAGGCAGCAAGAGAGGAGGGTTGGGGTTTTATTTCCTTGAGCAATATACTTCAAACTGGTTTTCATTTCCCAAGCCCAGCCCACCTCCCCCAGAGGTCTGCAGTTGATCCTGACCTCTACCCTGAGACACTTGCTTTTCCACCCTCCCACCCCCCAATAAGGCAAACACATCCCTGATGCTCCCAACAAGTTAAAAACTACTTTGTGCACATGTTAAAGCTTGCAGGTTATCTGGATCTTTTCTCCTTTCTGACTTGGGCTATTTTCTCCCGAAGACTGAGCCTTTAATGGGTAAGATCCTTCCCTGTAAGTGCACCTATAATGCCAAAGGGAGGCTTTCTAAATGGCCTCTGGGGGTGGGAGTACTGTTTAGCTCAATGTGGTTGCCTCCCTAGAAACTCCTCCTGGCCTGAGCCCACGGCAACATTTCCTGACCCACACTTGCTCCCAGCTGTGTTTGTACCATCGCTCCTAGTTCGCCTAAAGACAGTGCTACTTTTCTTTAGAACACAAATCTCCTCAGCCAGAGGAAGAAACTGGAGTTTGCTATTGCCAGAATGCAGAAAAAAGCTGAAGAGGCAGGGCAGAGTTGTCAACATGCAGAAGAGAAGGTCAAGAGCAGCCACTGAGGTGGGCCCATTGACCGCCTGCCGCTGCTGGCTTCCAAAAAAAAAAAAAAATTCCACTGATTCTCTTTAGTCAGGAGCAGGCTAGCTGACCCCTCTGACTCTCTGTTCCCATTTTGCAAAATTAGGCCAATTAGCTCCTCCCCTCCAACCTATCAAGGCAATGAAAAAGAGCAGTTGAATGGCTTTAAGCAAAATTTTATGAAGCGAGATTTTTTTTTTTAAGTTGTGCCATTTTCCAATTGTGAATCAATATGTCTAGTGTCTAGAAACAGTTCTTCCTGTGCTTTCCTTATACAAAGCTATTTACCTCAGTCTGTAACGGCTTCATGGTGGTGATCTGGAAAGAATGCTTACTTCACTTTTTACAACCTGTGCTACTGCTTCAGTCAGAGTCAGATTGGTTAAAAAGGGCTTCAGGGATGGTGGATCTTCTTTATTTCAAGTTTAAAATTTGTTGATGATAGTGTTATTGCTAAATGTCATGAAACCCGGAGTTGGTGGCCAGCTTTGACTAGATCTTTGTGGGAATCAGAGAAAGGACACCTCCAGAGTCATCCCATGGGCAGACGCAGGTCTTCTCTCAAAGGGCGTGGCAAGCAGATGCTAACACTTAGCAAGAAAGTATGCAGTGAAGGAGGTGTTGGGGGGAGTTTTGTGGGGAGGCCCCACCCCCAAGTCCCCAAGGTACACTGCAGAGAGCTTGGGCTCAGCATCAACCTCTACTCACCAGTGCCATCAAGTGAATCTGTGTGGTTCATCAAATGCAGAACCATACCCAGCACCCTGACCGTGCTGTGTGAATAGAAGCTAGTCCTTTTGCTTAAAAGGGTATGGGAATTAGGGAGACCAGACAGTCAATTAGGTTTTACTTTAATTATTTTCAAAATCAGAAGAGGGGAAGAGTTTATATCTATATTTGCACAAGTTATTTGGCTCTTGGGAAGTTTAACAAAACCTTTGTAGCAAGTCACAGCTACCAGGTCAGTGTACGACCCAACCCTCTCTCAGAATGGAGAAACACACCTACCTCGGAGCCATCCTGTATGATGGCACACGTTTCTCTCTGACAGAGAAGAGGTGTGGAAAAGCTTAAAAGTGTCTTATGGCCAATAGAAGAAAAATGTGCTTAACATTTATGAAAATCCACATAGATAGAGTGGAATAAAAAGAGCTATCTTTCCTGCTTGGTAAATGTATGCAGTCACACATTATGAAGACTCTCTAGGCTTAATCTGTCTTAATAAGATTTTCTTGATAATGTTGAAAAAAATTCACCACTTTTTCCCCTCACCATTGAATTCTCCACTAGTTTTTAGCTCTGCATTTCAACCCACATGGCAGAACCCAGAGTTGCCTCTGTAATTCATTCTTTGCCCTCACCATCTGCACAGACGTCTCACACTTAAATTATACAGATGGTTGGTAACCTGATAGACAGAGAAGTTTTGGCTGGGAGGGCAATGTTCTTACATTAAATGCACTGAGAGATTCATGAAACAGTGCTTAATAATTGCATCGCGACAACAAGCACACATAGCCAAAGTCAAGAGCAGGTCTCACAAGCAAGAATTAACCTGCTTCATGCCAGATTTATTGGCAATGAGAGCATCTGTTGCTGCCAAATTCCTGGAGCCTATACTTGTTTGTAGTTGTGAATCACAGAATTATAGAAGTGAGATGTGAAAAAGATTTTTGTAGGCACTGCACTATACTTTCCTGGTGAATTATGTTACAGGTTATGTCCTGGTGCTTTATTCAATTAAAAGTTGTTGCTCTAGTTGGTCATCTCTCAAAACAAGTGCTGTGTAATAATGTTTATATGGTATTTCATCTTTGGTCTGTTTCCTCCAACCCTCACACCAATCTTTTCGGTAGCTGCTATTCTGATTGCCTTATCGTTAATCATGTTGAAGGTCTCAGAGACTAGGGAGAACATGGCGGGAAGAGATTAAGTATACAGAGGCAAGGAATGACAGCTAGTCAGATGAGAAACTAGATTCTGAGTAGAAATGTTAAGATCAATTGGCTGTTGGATTATCTCAGTCCCCCCCCCTTTTTTTTTTTTTTTAGGCAGCAAGCATCTCAAAAGAACTAAAGAGGGAGCAGGACATCAGTGCTTGTTTGGAGAGGATGAGAAAAAATGTGAAATAGACAATCGAACACTTATGAAAATAGACTGGGTGAAGTTGAGCAGACGGCCCTGGTGGCGAGCAGAGAACAAATCCAGAAACTGGAATCCAGGGTAGGAGTCTGGCTGGGTGATCATGTGGTCTTGACAGTTCCTAGAATTAGGAACTAGCTTGAAATACCTATCACACCTGACCTCCCCCACCTCCCACATCAATTTTCATTTTGGCATTTTCAGATCTTTGAGAATGTTAAATCTCAATATTCATTCACTCTTGCTTATATTGGGTCATCAAATAGGTCTTATCCTGGCCTGGATAAATCTGCCTTCATTCTTGCTGCCAGGTGATGTGGATTCTTTTTAGCATGTCCTCTCCCACTGACCTGTATCAGCTCTAGCCTCTCCATGGCCAGAAGTGGTCACTATTTCTAAACATATCCTCAGTTTTGCTTCTGGGCCTTTACTCCTATTATTTCCTCTGTGGACAATGATTATTTCTTAACAGCCAGAGAAAGCAGGAGGAAAACAATTAAGTCAAGGACTTACTGAAGATATAGTGAGAGTTGACAGAAATGATGTAGTACTTGCCTTCGGGAAGCTTAACAACGAACAGGAAGATCTATCTTGAAAATAGAAGTTTCTTTAAATTATTGAATCAATTGAATCCATTTCAGTGACAATGTACAGGCCATGTGACAAATGTAAGAATGGAAAGAATATTTTGACTTACATTTGATGGCTAGAAGAACCTCCAAAAAACAATTAAGGTCTATGTACTTGTATGGCTCATCAAGGTAGTCTATATTGATTAAAAGGAAGAAGAGCAGAATTCTGTAACATGTTCTAGAAATCATACCGAACAGTTTAGCAGTGATGAAAAGGGCAAGTTATGTGGAGAGCACAAAACCTTTTGTACAAGAAAAGGAAGAAATATGTACACATTTGCTTATATTTTAAAAAAGAACTGGTGACAGGATGAAGCTAATAAAGTAGCAACACATTGCTGAGTGTATGTATATGAAATATGTATATGAAAGTTAGACTTTCTGAAGGTAGCTTAATTGTTTTGATTACAAAATAAGTTACATACTTCATAATTTAAAAATAAGGTGAAAAAATTAAAGCTATCCCTAAAATTTTAATACATATGGAAACAAAGTTAGCTACTTATCAATTTGTATGGGCATAAAATGCCCAAAGAATAGTTATTCACAAGGACTTTTAAACATTGAGTTTTTTTCTAAACATTCTTCATGGAATGTGTCTAAGGGCAAAAGAAAAAAAAAAACTAGCAAATAGAACAAACTACCTTTGCAGTTTTAATGGACAGTCCTTATTGCTACTAGATATAAGACTCATAATTATTTATGTACCAATACATATAAGAACCAAGATTTTTAGTATGAGAATGTGTGGAAACATAAAATATAAAAAAAATACTTTTACAATCTATCTTTATTCCCTAAAAAATAGATGATACTGGTATTTACAATTCAAAGTTAAGATTGTGGAATTTCATTTCCAGTTTTTCAACTATTACGGCTTAAAATCAACTATAACCCAGCAGCAATGTGCTCCTGAACATCAGATGATACTAAGAAATTACTGTTAATCTTCTTGAAAAGCACAATCCTCATACCATTACCTATTATAGTTACATAAATATTTACAGGTGAATTTATATACTGTCTTGAATTTGCTTTAAAAAAGTAACTTTCCCTGATGTGTGTTATCAGTCAAAAAGCAATAAATGAATGAATGAATAAAACAAGTATTTAAAAATGTAAAGAGAGGCTTCTATTACTCTCAAGGTTCAGCAATGTGTTAGGTTCCCAACTGATAGGAGTCCAGAAGATTTTTTCTTAGTGGGCTTCATCCACAAGGAACTTGTGGTCCTGAAAACTCTCCCACCCCATTTAAGGAGGTGCATAAGGCCAGCGGGGAGGGAGGGAGAGAGGGAGGAAGGTAAAGTAGAGTCAGAGAGTTCAGCACATTCATGCCCCAGGGAACTGACCTTTTCTTTTTAAAAGGAATGTTAGGGAGTCCTCTTTGAGAAGGAGACACTTGTTAAGGCAGGGTGAGAGCCATGGTGTGTGGGGAAGAGAGGGGTAGCCAACACCCTTTCCTGTCAATGCCCTACCTTTCCTTTATTTCTCTCCATATCGTTTATCACCATCTAACACTCTGTATTTTACTGTTTTTTTTTTTTTTATGTGTGTGTGGTCCATTCGTTAATATGTATGCTTATTTAGGGGAGAGATTTTTGTTTGTTGTTCACTGCTGTATCCCTAGTACCTGGGTCTGGTGAGAAGAAGGCATCGAGTTTTGGTTGCATGAATATTATGTTTGTGTAACTCAGTAATACTCTGTAAGGCAGGCAGATTGTTAGTATGGACGGCCACTCTCCCACAAAGCAGACTGGAGGACTGTGTGTGACATATGTGTGACAGTCAGGGTCTGATTTAGAAAAATAAGAGCAGAACATGGAGAAAGCAGCTGAAGATTACGAGGTATACTGGCTGAGCCCTTAGTATGTGCTATGTGTAGCTTACTCGCTCTGCACTACCTTCATAGGTAATGTAACAGGGGAAGTTTCTCTCTCTGTATGGTTTAGGCTTGCACAACCTTCAGAATCTAAGCAGTCCTTTCATAAACTCACAGTTGAACCAACCGTGATCTTTGGATGAGGTAGTTTTCCAAGAGGTTACCTACTATTGACTAAAAGAGCAAACACATTGTGTGGTGGGGAGAAATGTTGGGATGTGGCTATAGACAGAGGGTGAAAGAATTCACCAGAACAGAGTGGAGAACAGAAAAGGTGAATTTATTGTTATGAGAAGCAGCAGGAGAGACGGCAGGAGGCTGTACGCCAAGACTGTGAGGCTCTTTCATACTGCTTTCATGGGCTGTCTAATGTGGGCAGCCAGTTTGCACCAGTTTTCTGCTGGGATGTCTGGCCTCAGGCACTGGCCTTTGACTCAGAATCAAGTCCTGGCACTCTTTGGCTTTCTTAGAGCTGGGCAGTTTTTTGTGGTCATTGACCTTATGGTTTGTTCCCAAGGCAACATTATCAATTCACACCTCCCAGAGCTGCTTGACAGGCAAAGAGTGGGGGCTTAGTTTTTAACCTTACTAAATTGTACTCCAATTGTACATCTTCCATTTAAAAAAAAAAATTATCAATTTATGCATACGAGAGGAAGGGTGCAGGCCAGAGGTGGAGGGAGTGAGAAGATTCACCAAAGACAGAGTGGGGAGCAGAACAGGTAAATCCACTGAGCTACACTGCTGAGGGGAGCAGCGGGTGAGACAGGAGAGGACTGTTGTGTTATGTGGGTCACCTCTCTGGCTGAGGATCTGACTCCTGCTGCAGTGGCTGTGGATAAGCTTTGTAGTGCAGCACTTTAACCCACTGCACCACTAGGGAGAGCCCCCAATACGTCTTCCTTTAGTGCTCTTACTCTGTCAACTGATCATGCCCGTTGGCAAATAAATGTCAGTCTGGCTTGCATACTGCCCACCTGTGGTCTGAGGTCAGGGTTTGGTTGCAGGTTCATGAACTGGAAAGTGAACTGGAGGGCAAAATACAATGCAACGCAGAGGTCCAGAAGGGAGCCCGTGGACTAGAGCCATGCATCAAGGATCTGACCTACCAGGTACGCCCAGAAACCACTCCCTGAATGTCTAGCTGGGCACTCTCCTGGAGAAATGAGCTCCTTCAAGCCTGAAATGGCCTTCCAGCTCTGCTGCGCTCCTCTCTCTGTCTCTGCTCTCCTCAGCATCGACACTGACTCACCCTGCCAGGGCTCCTGTGCTATTAGTGGTTTGGGTTGCTCCCTTTTCAGAGCTCTCAGGAAGCAAAATGTGGCAGCAAGTTGCAATTAGAAGTGAAAAGCTATTTATACTGCCCTTATTTTTTTCACACATAATGTCTGCAGCACTTTCAGAAAGATGCCTTCCTGTGAGAGGCTGAGTGAGAACAATGTGTAAATGAAGTGACTAGCAGAGATTTGGGTGGCTACTCAGCCAGCAGGTTGCTGACTAAACCGGAGCAGGGGATATTTCCGCTCCTATTTTCCAGTTGCACAGACTCTCATCCACTGTCTAAGGCTCTGGTCTTGGCATCAGGAGGAAACAGCAAATATTCAAGAGAGGCCCTAAAGCTTTCTCACTTGAAACTGCTGACGCAACAAATTATTTAAAAGAGGGGAGCAGACTTCCTAGAAGTAATTAGTGCATTTCTGAAGTAATGATGTAATCCTTCATTTCTGTTTTTTTTTTTAAGACTTTAAAAAATTTATTTATGCATATGGAACTGGAATACAGGTGCAGGAACAGTGAGAATATTCACCAGAAACAGAGTGGGGAGCAGAACAGGCAGATCACAAAGTACACTGCTGAGGGGAGCAGTGGGCGAGACTGGAGAGGTCTGCCACACCATGTGGTCACCTCCATGGCTGGGAATTGACCTTGCGCTGAAGTGGCTCCACTTTAACCCATTGCGCCACCAGGGAGGGCCTCATTTCTGTTTTCATCTTCTACCCTTCCTTCTTTATTCTTTAAATGGAATAGATCTCATACTGTTGATGGCAAAGGTGTTGTATTTACTTGCAGCTTCCAGGCCGTGCAACTTTCTGGCACAGAGAAGGTGTGTATATTTCAGTTGTTGAACACAAATGCCACAGATGGCTTTTCTCCCCTCTCCTGCTGCACAATGTAGCATATTGCCGAGAAGGGCACCGTGTTGTCTGCAACTTTGATGGTACGACGTGAGCGCCCCATCCTGATTCTGGTCCCTCAAGCTGGGCTATTGATAGACATGCCAAAGTCTCCCTTGCTTCAGACAATGTTGATGAGAAAGCAGACCATTTCAGAGGCTTCATCTCGGGCTAATTATATGAGCTACTTGCATAGCTCTTCACTGGGTAAGTGGCTCTTTTCTAAGGCTAGTTAGTCTGACACTTCTTTAGACCATGCTAGTTACATCAAACCCATTAGGAGTAAGCCCTCCCGAATGTGGGGCTAAGGAAGAAAATAGCTTGGGAACATGAAAGACCAGCTATTCTCCCTTTTGATGAGATGGAAGGCCGCCCATATTGAGGGTGTGAAAGACTGCTTGCTAATAACTCCAGGGCTTTTCTTCCTTTTATATTCCTATGGATTATTCTTACTGTTTTCTTGTGTAAACATCTCATTAGAGAACAAAACAGCCAAGCTCTCCTTTTTTCATTATCCCAAAGTACACTTTCTTGTTTGATTGTTTTGTTTTTGTTTCCTTATGGCAATAATCTTAGTGTCCCCTATGTAGAAGCAGGGAGGTCTATTTCTTAATTTCTCCCAAGTATCTGCATAGTGTTTAGAGTATGTCCAATTATGCAGTGACTTTTTCTGCCATTAGATTGCAACTATTTTATGCAAGATACTACATTATACCCTGTTAAGTTTTAGGGGGCATTGATAAGACCTCCACATTCCTCTATATCAATACCTGGTCTTCACATATTCAAGATAGATTTTGAGTTAAGTTTGTCCTCCTTCAAATAGAAATAGCCATTAGGACTATAAGGCCGGGCATTTTGTGACTGTACATTATAGATGCCAATAGAAAATGCCATTTTGGGGCCTCCCTGATGGTGCAAGGGGTTAAATCTCAGCACTATCAAGCTATCACTTGACATTGACCAGGGAGCTGACAGATAGGGCGCAGCAGACCACTGTGTTGCCTGCTGCTCCCCTCAGCAGTGTGTTTCAGTAGATCTGCCTGCTCCGCTCCCCACTGCCTCTGGAGAATCCTCTTACCCCTTGCACTTCTGGCCTTCACTCCAGGTGTTGTATCCATAAATAAATAATAAATCTTCTAAAAAAAAAAATGCCATTTTGAAAGAGACATGTAGTTTATGTAGTTTGCTAGGAGAAATCTTCCAGGAGGATTCAAGTGCACTGGAAAAGGACTCAGATGTGAGCCGTCTATGCTAGTTCTGTGGCCAGCCCTCACTGGGCATGTCTCTCTCCTTGTATGTCCCTCTAGCAGCTGGGAACTCATCCTGTTTTCTCTCTCCAGTCCCTAGAAAAAACAAGCAGTACATAAGAATTGGAGTGAGGCCATAACTTGTAATTGTTATAATTACAATTTCAATTTTTATAGACGTTGAAGACAGTTTCTCTGCTCCTCATTCTTCAGCCACCTTACTCCATTTTAGCCTCAGCTGCTTCCTGTAATCAGAAATCTGTGTAATGTTATTTCTTACAAAAAAGTTACAAATATAGCACAGGCATACATTGGAGATATTGTGGATTCACTCCCAGACCATTGCAGTGAAGTGAGTATCACAATAAAGAAAGTTTATTGTGATAATAAAGAAAGGTTTCCTAGGGCATATCAGTTATGTTTATACTATTCTACAGTGTGTAAGTGTGTATATCTTATCATGACATGGACACAGGATGAGCTGATGCTTTTTGAAAAATGGCTTGTTGACTTATTGACTTATTCATTACGGGGGTGCCATTAACCTTCAGTTTGTAAAAGGAGCAGTATTTGTGACGTGCAGTTCAATGGGTTTTGCCTATATCCGTTGTTGCCTCTCTTCTTAAATTTCTGATTTGACATTGAATTTTCTTTCTTCTTGATCCTGATTAAAGTTCCTTCCACTTTAAAAATCTTTTTGAAAAACCTGGGTCTTTATTTCATTTTAATTTCTATTGTCTTTCTAGTGTCATTTTCATTTATTTCCATTTTAAATTTGCTCTTTCTCTTCCCACTAATTTTGTGCTTAATTTTTCTAGTGTCTTCAGGTATAAAGCATGTCAATCTATAGTTTTTTTAAATTTTTTAAATGTAGACATTTATCACTATGAACCTTCACCTTAGAACTACTTTTGCTGCATCCTGTATGTTTTGGTTATATTGGCTGTCCATTTTTGCTTGAAGATTAAAAGAATTTCTCCTTTGATCCATTTGTTTTCAATGGCATGTTATGTAATCTCCATATATTTGTGAATTTTCCAATTTTTTCCTGCAGCTACTTTTTAGTTTCAAATTATTTTTGTCAGAAAAGATCTTTGCTATGTCAATCCCCTTAAATTTGTTAGTATTTATTTTGTGGCTAACATGTAATCTATCCTAGGGAAAGTTCGTTTTGTACTTAAGAATATGTATTCTGTTGCTTTTGGGAAGACTGTGTAAATGAAAATGAGCATTTAATTTTCCGATTTTATTGCTATATATTTCTAACTTTAAGTCTTCTAACATTTGCTTTATATAGTTGAGGGTTGCTTAATGTTTTAGTCAGTAACAGACACTATATGATGGTGGTACCCATAGTCTGTACCATCCAGGTATAGGTGTGTGGTAGGCTTGTGCATTTACATCCTATGACAGTCACACAATGATGAAATCACCTACAGTGCATTTCACAGTGTATCCTTGTTAAATGACATATGACTATATTTAGGTTCTCCTATGTGGGTATAGAAATGTTTACAAGTGTTACATAATCTTCTTGGATTAACCTTTTTATCATTCTGTGATGAATGTCTTATAATTTGTCTTAAAATACTTTATCTGATAAAACTATTTTTTTTTTAAAGATTTATTTATTTATCCATACAGAACTGGGGTACAGGCCAGAGATGCGGAGGGTGAGAGGATTCACCAGAGACAGAGTGGGGAGCAGAACA